TTGTTCCATAGGAACATCAGTAAGTGTTTGAATCGTCATTGTAGGGTCAAAATCAAGAAGTTGATCAAATGTTACAGAATCGTCCGGAATATTATCAAATAAATCACTATCAAATTCAAAGTTAGGTATCGGAGTTGTTAATGTAGTATTATCAAGAATTTGTTGAATAAATGAGGTATCGCCGATAGGTAGATCTAATGATGGTTCAAGGTTTGTATAAGTCGACGATGCCGAAGGAGTAGATTCACTATTAAAGACACTTATAAGTGACCCGTCGGAGCTGTGTACCTGAAGTGAAGATGAGAGTTTTAATTGATTTTTTATATTCATTATAGCTTCATTATATGCTGCCGCTGAGAGTTTTATATTATCTGCTTGTTTTTTAGAATTCTCTTCCTTCTCTATTATGTCTGCGGGTGCATATTCAATAAATGGATCATAATGATCATTCTTACCAAATCTGAAGACGCAGCTAATCTCGTCGGGTATTGCAGCAAATCTATCGCTTCCTGGTTGAACAGGGATTCCGGTATGCTTAGAGCTGGACATGTTGTTTGTGTTGAATCGTCAAAGAATGAGAAGGGTGAATAAGCCGTTGTAATCTTTTTCTCTTGTTCCTTTGTATTAGACACGGTTAATGTCGCTTGATAAATTCGATTTTGTGTACAAATATGAACCTTCACTGTTTGAGTTGTTAAAGAATTTGTTGAAGACAATGTATTAGATATTTGTTGGTGTGTGTGAGTGAGTGAGTGTATGTGAATAAAAGTGGTCGTAATGTTGAAATTTAGTTTCTTTTTATATACGACTGTGTCTTCTATGTCTCTCTTTTTTTCTCTCTTTTTTTTTTCTAAATTTCGTAATTACAGATACAACTATTGCACCATAGGTTGTTAATCATGCGTCATGATTTTCTCTCTTTCTCTCCTTGTTTCTTTCCAAGCTTCTCTCTTTTGCCTTTTCTTTTCATTTAGAAGGCAACAAAAAAAGGAAGAAGAAAGAAAAATATAGAGAACAAGCAGACAAAAAAAAACAACAAACGTCATTATCAATGACATGAGTCATGAAAGAAAAAAACCCTTACTAGGAATATAGTATTATTATTGTTGAATGTTAGATGGCGTTCGTAGTTACGATGTGTAATGATGACGTGTAATGTAGAATTTATCTCAGTTTACGTGGCAAAATAATAAATCGAGATATATAAATATGTATTTAAATGTCAGAACAAATTAAAATATATATACACTCTAACATTAGCGTACTAAAAAATAATGAAGAAATCATTTTTTCCAGTATTTATATATAGAGATATACAAATCATTCTAGACGAGGAGGTATTGCATGAGAGAAATGACGTAGTAACGTTGTTCTTGCACAATTACATCATTTTTACAGAATGGACAAAAGATAAACATATTTTTTGTTTCTCAAGTTTTCTCGAGTTTGATGATTCATATTGTGATGAGATGAAAAAAGAGGTATCTAGAATATGATTTTATCATAATGAGAAATTAAAATGATAAATAAATAATGAATCAACGAAATGGACTGATAATTATCTATTTAATAAAAACTCAGTTAATAGCTTATACACAAAAACACAATAATTGATTAATAAATAAACTCTGGAAAATCGACCTTGACATTCAGAGACTATATCACATGAATATGACATCAATTTTTTCCGACTTATAGTTATATTTCTTGTCACAATATGATCTTTAAATATGTTATCGTGAATGATGAATATCTAAATATTATACAGTTGTAAATCAACGATAAATCGATTCATCTAATTATACTTTGTCATGAAAAATAGCAATGCCATTTGTTTTAAACTGTTTTCTAGTCTTATTATAAAAATATCATCGGGTTATAATACTATTCAATAGATACATCAATATAATAAATATCTCTTTAATATATCATTACCATATTCTTTTTAGTGTATATTATTACCACCTGGTATTATAAACTATTCAAACAGTTAACTGATGTTTTCAAACCGGGAATTTTTTATCACATTGTTAATGTATGTGCAGTTATTCCAGTGTTTTATCCAGCATGGGAGCAGCATCTCTCTGAAAAATGAATCTGTTCTATTAGATTGTGTAGTACCTGTGCTACATAGTATATGTTTGAGATCTCAAAAATTGGTGATTTCCCTTCTGAAGCTCTAAATCACTTCTTCGGACGAGAAAATCTGAATAAAACTACTTTATATATATATATTGTTATGTGTTCATTCTATGCCAAACTTGATCTTCATGACAATATAACATTTTTTTTCTAGGTATATAATCCTTTGACAAACTTTAAAGAATGAAGTTGATATTTTTCATGAATCTACATTATTTTTACGTCTTACTGTTTTTTTTTTGTTTGTCTCGTGTTGCATTTACGTGATACTTTTTGCTAAAGGACTTGTACAGAACATTTACTTCATTTAACGAGTGAATTTTGATATTAGTATTTGCTATTTATTCACTCGTAATGGATAACATAAAATTATTGAAAATTTTCTTTCGAATTTCAAAAGAATCAGAAATAAAAACTCATAAATAAATCAATCTTTTTCAATTCTAAAAAATCGAGATTCTTTTTATATTTTTGAATATTACAATGATTTGATAATAGTAAACAGTGTTCAATAGTTCTAACACTTTTATCAGAATGTTGTCCACATTATTATGATAAGAAACCAAATGAGAATGATTTCAAATTGGAGTATGTTTACAGGAACAAAATCCTTTTTTTCATTTACTATTTCATCATTCTGCTGCTAGGACAATTCGTCGCAATGATATAATTCAATCATAGTTTATATATTTTTTTCAACAATGAAGCACATATTCAATTTAGTTTGAAACATATAATCTAATGACGCTAAAAATTATTGAAAATATTACTCATATCGAAACTCCGATTTTTGATCTCAAGATGAGCCACTAAAAAGAATCCTACGAAGAAAAAAAATCGGACCCGTTTCCTACTTCATAATTAATGTCAATAGCATGTAAAAAATTCTCGATTACGAGGTATCATCAAAACTGTTTCTGGAACTGTGTAAATCATCGATCAAAATTGACTAGTTTAGGTTTAAATATATAAAGTAACAGATGATGGTTGTTAAAGTAGCAGAATTTGTACATCGCATGCAATAATTCAAATACAGAAATTCAATAGAAGTTGTTTTTTTTCTGATGATGTCAACACTGCTTCTCTTCAGGAAACGTTAAAATTCGCTAGTTCTTTCAAAGTATTGTCTCATTGTCAGAAGCTTTGAGCTGTACTGCGAATAAAAAAAAGACGTAATGTCACTCTCAGTGATATAGAAAACCTTTCTTCACTTCTATAGCTCAAATAATTTAATGTTTTATCCGCAGAAGAAGAGTATCGTACTGTTCGAGATCAAAAATCGGAGTTTCAGTATGAGTAATATTTTCAATAATTTTTATCGTCATTAGATTATATGTTTCAAACTTAATTGAATAAGAGCTTCATTGTTGAAAAAAATATATGAACTACAATTGGATTATATCATTGCGACGAATTGTCCGATCACCCATCATTCTAATAATTAAATCTGACCCATTGAATTTAATGATAACACTAGCCTTTTCATTATTATTGGTAGTCAGATTCAGAATATCTCTTCTGAAGTTTGTTTAGTAAAAGTCCGAACTTCTTCATCGCTGTTACTAGTATCGGAATTTGAAAGGAAGCCAGGTAGAAAAAAGTTTATAACTTTCAAACAAAAAGTCTTAGCGATCTGCGTTTTTCAATAACCAATGGAACATTGTAGGTGACATAGTGATTTATATAAAAACAAAGATTTTAATAATCAGGCACAATAGGACTGATTGTGGAATTATTGAATGAATAGGCTTGTTATTGGTGAAATTTCAGCAGAACAAGCTGAAATTGTCAGCATATGTAGTCTCGCTGTAGTCCAATGTTCTCGACAGTATCATCGATAAGTCTTGTAATGACGAGGAATATATGCCAACCATCATCTAGTATTACATAAGACTTTCATTGACTCAATATATTATAAAATGACCTCAACTTTTGACTAAATAAATATTATAATCTAGAATTCATATCTGAGCAGTTTTATCATAGTTTGATTATATGAAGGAGAAGAGACGATGAAAATATTACTAAGTTCTTCATTACTCTTGAGAAAGTTAAAAAAATTTATTATAAAATACATACTGCACAAGTCGACATTCTTGGCTCTGTTCTTACCAGATTCTTGTTTTTCAGAAAAAACTGTCAAGATTCTTATTGATCTTGAACTTCAGTCAAGAGTCTTTCTAACGATAGAGAGAACTATATAAAGATTCTTTCCAGAATTACAAGGCGGACGTCCAGTCTTTTTTCTTACATATATATATATATCGCTCACACACACTCATCGTTCATTTATACAAGGAGTGTTAAACCGTTAACATGATGAGATGTATGAAAACTATTGCAATGTACGATGTCGGTATGTTGTAAATTGAAGTAAAGTATATTGATAGGTTATAGCAAGACTATATTACAGCTTATTTAGTTTCTCATAACAGTTCGAATGATAATGTGGTCATGACTTTTCTTCATCATAAGCTATTCAAAATCAACGTATTTTTTTGCAACGCATTTTTAACATTTACTCCTTAATGAAGATTGTTATCCTGGTATAGTTGAACTTATTTTCTTTTTTTTATAATGTTACTTTATCGATGTTTCTTTTTCTTTATTTGTTTGAATTATGAAGACTAAATGTGATATTATACCCGGTGAAAAATTTTATTGATTTAATCTGAATTATTTTGCAACAAAATCA